GGGGAGTCTTCTGTGCATGGATGCCTGGGCCATGGGAGCGTGGGCAGGAGCCCTGTGTCTATTAAAAGGCAGAGGCGGCCTTGTGTTTGGAGTGTTGCCAGAGGCTATAAATAGCTGAGTGTGTGCAGAAGCAGTGTACAGGGAGGAGGGCGGAAGCGGGGAGTCCCTGGCTTCCAGCTGGCAGCAGAGGGTGGGTGTGGTATAGGAGGGCCATGGATTCCCCCAGTCTCCCCAGGTCTCCCTTGGGCTCTGAAAGCAAAGCTCTTGCAGGCATGGGTGTGCGCACCCATGACTTGGTCTGGGGCCTTCTAGTGGACCTTGTAGCGTGAAGGATGATCATGGGCAGCAGGGAGGGGTATGGCTCTGAGGTAACAGCAAACAACTAATTGCCAAGCATTGTTCTGACCATGTTTAAAATGCATGAACTCACAGCCCTAGGAAGTAGGTGGCTGTTACCCTTTTCACAGGTAGGGAAATGGAGGCATAGGGTGGTTCAGTAACTTGCCCAGAGACATACAGCCAGGAAGTGTTCAAGCCAGGATTTGAGTGAAGTCTGGCCAGCCTAAGGGTCCCTTTTTGTCTGTTAGAAGGATCTGCTCAGACGGGGTCCGGTGATATCCTGAATCCTTGGGGCCTGCTTGGAGCCTGGAGATTGGGAGTTCCCAGCCCTGTCTACTTGGGTCCTGCCCATGGTTGTGGCCAGAGGGGTCCCTGGCTGGTCAGTGGCCTGTAGAGAGAAGCTGGGCCACTCTCCATGTCTGCTGGTCTCCTTTAATCAGGCCCCTAGCCTTGCACAGGGGGCTTGCTGCCTAGGGTCTGAATGAAGATGGGACTCCTCTGAGGACCCTGGGACTTGGGCTGCAGGCTGCGGTCACCCTCCTGGTGTCCCCTTCCTCCAGAACCCTGCTGTGGCCAGGAGGGAACCATGCCCTTCAGTCTGTCGTTGGTCCTTCTCCCCACCTAACTACTGTGTGGGGAGCTGGTTCTAGCACTGAGCACAGTGCAGGCTTTTGCCCCAATCATCTTTACAGCCTTGAGGAGAGAAGCCTGACGTTTACAAAGCCATCAGTGGGCACATTTGTAATGTCTTCCCTTGCACACATGTGTTCTCTGTGTTATTTTCTCTTGGGGATTCTCTTTGGTGGCATCTTTTTGTAGTTTCTTTTTTTTTTCTCCTATTTTATCAAATGTACATCACAGTGGTTGAATAGTATTCCCCCACCAAGCCCATTCCCTTCCCGCTTGGTAACTACTAGTCCCTTCTCAATGTTTGAGTCTAATGCTGTTTTGTTCTTTCTGTTTTGCTTTGTTTTTATATTCCACAAATAAGTGAAATCATATGGTGTTTGTCTTTCTCCACCTGCCTTATTTCATTTGGCATAATATCCTCTAGATCCATCCATGTTGCTGCAAATGGCAGGATTTCTTTTCTTTTTAGGGCTGAATAATATTCCATTGTATATAATGTGCCACATCTTCTTTATCTGTTTATCTATTGATGGACACTTTGGTTGCTTCCATATTGTGGCTATTGCAGACACTGTGGTAATAAACATAGGGGTGCATGTATCTTTTCAAATCAGGGATTTTGTTTTCTTTGGGTAAATTCCTAGGATTGGGATTATTGGGTCAAATGGCATTTCTATTTTTAGTTTTTTTGAGGAACCTCCAAACTGTTTTCCACAGCAGTTGCACCAATTTGCAGTCCCACCAATAGTGTAGGTGGGTTCCTATTTCTCTGCACCTTTGCCAGCATTTGTTGTTCCTTACCTTATGGATGTTGGCCATCCTAACTGGTGTGAGGTGATACCTCATTGTGGTTTTAATTTGCATTGCCCTGATAATTAGCGATGTGGAGCATCTTTTCATGTGCCTATTGGCCATCTGAATTTCTTCTGTAGAGAAGTGTCTGTTCAGATCCTCTGCCCATTTTTTAATTGGGTTATTTGCTTCTTGGGTGTTGCAGCGTGTGAGTTCTTTATATATTTTGGATGTTAACCCCTTATTGGATGAGTAATTTACCAATACATTCTCTTATACTGTAGGATGCCTTTTTGTTCTGCTTATGGTGTCCTTGCTGCACAGAAGTTTTTAGTTTGATGCAGTCTCACTTGTTCATTTTTTATTTTGCTTCCCTTGCCCGAGGAGATGTGTTCAGGAAAAAGTTGCTCATGTTTATGTCCCAGAGATTTTTGCCTATGTTTTCTTCTAGGAGTGTTTTCATTTCATGACTTACATTCAAGTCTTTGATCCATTTTGAGTTTACTTTTGTGTATGGAGTTAAGACAATCTAGTTTGATTCTCCTGCGTGTAGCTGTCCAGTTTTGCCAACACCATTTGTTGAAGAGGCTCTTTTCCCCATTGTATATACATGGCTCCTTTATCGTATATTAATTGACCATATATGCTTGGATTTACATCTGGGCTCTCTATTCTTTCCACTGATCTATGGGTCTATTCTTGTGCCAGTACCACATTGTTTTGATTAATGTAGCTTTGTAGTAGAGCTTGAAGTCAGGGAGCGTAATACCCCCAGCTTTGTTCTTCTTTCTCAGGATTACTTTGGCTCTTCAGGGTCTTCTGTGGCTCCATATGAACTTTAGAACTATTTTTCTAGTTCATTGAAGAATGCTGTTGGAATTTTGATAGGGATTACATTGAATCCAGATTGCTGGATGTTGAATTTTGTCAAATGCTTTTGCAGCATCTATTGAGATGATCGTGTGGTTTATTAATGTGGTCTGTGATACCGATGGAATTACGAATATTGTACCGTCCTTGTTGCACCCCTGGAATAAATCCCACTTGGCCATGATAGATGATCTTTTTGATGTATTTCTGGATTCAGTTTGCTAATATTTTGTTGAGGACTTTTGCATCTATATTCATTTATTGTTCAGAACCTCTGTTTCCTTATTTAATTTCTGTCTGCTTGATCTGTCTATTGATGGGAGTGGTGTGTTAAAGTCTCCTAAAATGAATGTGTTGCAATCTGTTTCCCCCATTAAATCTGTTACTATTTGTTTTACATATTTAGGTGCTTCTGTGTTGGGTGCATAGATATTTATAATGGGTATATCCTCTTGTTGGACTGACCCCTTTATCATTATGTAATGTCCTTTGCCTCTTATTACTTTCTTAGTTTTGTAGTTAATTTTGTCTGATATAAGTACTGGTGCTCCTGCTTTTTTCTCCCTATTATTTGAATGGAATACCTTTTACATCTCTTCACTTCTAGTCTGTGTATATGTCTTTGGGCTGAAAGGAGTCCCTTGTAGGCAGCATACAGTTGGGTCTTGTTTCTTTATCTCTTCTGCCTCTCTGTGTCTTTTGATTGGTGCATTCAGTCCATTTACATTTAAGGTGCTTATTGATAGATATGTACTTATTGCCATTTTAATAATTGTTTTTTGCTTTTTTTTAATATCTCCTCTCTGTTCCTTTCTTCCTCTCTTATATTCTCTTGTTATTGATGGTTTTCTTTAGTGTTGTAATTAGATTTCTCTCTCTTTTTAAAATTTAATTTTTTGTGTGGGTATTTATTATAATGTTTAGTTTTGTGGTTACCAGAGGTTCAAGGATAGCTTCTTTATTATATAATAATCTATTTTAAATTGCTGAATACTCCATTTCATACACAGTCTAACAGTACTTTTTTTCCCTTCTTTTTCCTCCACATTTTTTGTATTAATTTTCATAAGCTGCACTTTATTATCTGCACCAATTTATCCCTTGACTGGTTTTGTGTATAGTTCATTTGCTTCTTTTGTTTTAATTTTGTACTTGCTTCGTAATTATTTGGTCTACTACCTTTGCTGTGGGTTCATTTTCACTGGTGAAAGCTGTTTAGCTTTAGGGTCATTTCCATACAGTAATGCCTTTAACATATCATGTAAGACTGGCTTAGTGGTGGTGAATTCCTTCAACTTCTGTTTATCTGGCAATTGTTTAATCCTTGCTTCAAATTTAAATGATAATCTCATTGGGTAGAGGATTCTTGGTTGGCGGTCCTTCTGTTTCAGTGCATTAAATATATTATGCCACTCCCTTTTGGCCTGAAGAGTTTCTGCTGAGAAGAGTGACGTTATTTTTTACACTTATTGAATTTCTGAAATATTCATTTAAACAGCAACAGACAGTCAAGGGTGAGAAATTCAGGTGATGGAGGAAGGACAAGTGCCTGTGGAAGTGAAGTTTGTCTGGTCTCCCAGGTGAGAGAAGAGCTGACAGTTAAAGGGAAAAGTGGGAGGTGGCGATGTGCGGGAAGGCTGCGTGCACTCGAGGGCCTGCCCATGTGGTGTGACTGCAGCGGGGGAGGGAAGTGGAGGTGCCCAGCACCCTGTCTGTAGTCCAGCTTGGGGTCCTGGCCCCACCAGTCTCAGTCTCCAGGGATTCCCCCCACTATATTTGCTGCTGTGGGTGCCTCCAGGCTGGGAGAGGAGGTTTGGTGTCCTCTGGACTGGGTGCTTTGCATAATCTGGCTGCCAGCTGCTGCTGCAGGTGGCCAGGAGCCTGTGGACACTCAGTGCCAACCTGGGCCCTGGGCCCTGGTGTGCTTGCCCAGCCTTTGGTCATCCATGCTCCCTCCTGCGCTCGCCCTGCAGCTCCTCATGTCCTCCCCCTAAGCCTTAAGCCTTGATGAAGGGCCTGGCTGGGGTAAGCCAGCATGTACTCGTGCATGAGCCCCTTTGTGGATCCCAAGGCCCTGCCTGGAGAGTTGGGAGCCCACTGTAACTCCGGGAGAAAAATCTCGGGGCAAAATAGTTTTGAAACCAAAATCAGCCAAAGGGAGAAATAAAGTTAATAAACCCATTTATTTCTTACAAGTAGTCATCCCATCTCTGTCCTGACCAGGCTGCAGCAGAAGAGAGATCCACTCAACCTCTCCAGTCCAGATAAACCCTCGCATAACGTTGTGGTTGATATGTAGATGGACCACCTTTCTCCACCCCTTTAAACGCCTATTGATATGCAGATGCAGTAAAGCCAGGAGAGAGATTCTGGAAATATTGCAATTTTACCCACAGCTCACCCCTCCAGAAATCTTGCCTCACAATGTACACGTTCCCCATCTTTTGCAATGGTCCCTGTGTGAGAAAACTGGAGCATTGGAACCAGGCTAATAACAAAATAGCAACAGCAGTAAAATCATGATAATCCTCAAGCCGGAGGCTTCAGCTAGGTTCATAGTCCTATGCAGGTTAAGTCCATAGCTCACCCATTCCACAAAGTAGCTGAACAGGCAGGGAGTTCAGAGCAATCATCACGCTGGCAGCTGCAGCCAGGGGGTGCATCCAGGCCACAAGGGCTGTAGAAGAAAACCTTATGGGTGGTTAGATACATGTTTTAATGGCACCAGGGTAGGCAAATCTTGTCTGTCAGGTAGGATACATGCAAAAGAGTGGTCCTGTGATAGGACAGTGACAGGAATGGGACCTCGTCCTGGTCTAGTATACAAGACTTTCAACTCCTCTTCCTGTGGGGGTTACTGATGGGTCTATATGTAGGGCTGTGGGAGGCACATGGCTGGCCACAATGCTAAGCCAAAACTTCCCGGTAAGATGCTCTTACCTTCCTGCCTTTTTGGTTACACTACCATCATCTTTGGGGGTCCCTCTGCTGTTACACCAGGAACACACAGGAGAACAGCTTTCAGGCCTTGTTCCCAAGGTGCCAGAAGAGCCAGCCATCGTCGGTCCACCTGTCAAAATGTCCAAGGCCACGTAGTCTCCAGGTTGTGGGACTCAGTCACACAATGCACTTCTGATGGAGTTCTGCTGACCTCTTCAAAGGTCAAAGGTAGGCCCCACTGACAGGCTATAGTCTACATTGTCTTCTGCCCTGGGCAGGCTGTGCTGCTAGCCAATGCACCTGGGCCAATGCACAGTGTTCAAGGCACTGTAGAGGCCCCAGCCATAGCCATCTTCAGTCACATGGACATCCAGCTCACAGAGCCCTGATGGGCCTGTCTCACTCAAAACCTTCATAGTCTTGACTGTCCATTTTGCAACAGCGGAGGTAAATGCACACGTTTCATGCCAGCCCCACCTGATGCCCTTTCATACCAAATGGCATAAGGGTTTCAGAATTTGTGCCAAGTGCAGAATAAACACTCTCCAGTAGCCTCTGGCCTCTAGGAGCTACCCATCACTGCAGGGAGATGCAGAAGGCAGAGTGACCAGACAACGGCCACTGCCATGGGGGGCCCCTTCTACCTACAGATAGTTGTCCTCCTGTGGCTGTACCGTGGGATAGCAGGCTCTTTGATCTTGGTGGCCACTGCTGGGGGTGGCGTGGAGGGTGAGGGAGGCCTTGGGTGTGCTGGACTCAGGGTGCCGTGCCCTCCTCTGGGGCTGGGGTGGGGTGTTCCACTCCTCCCTGCTCCAGCGGCCTTTCAGGCTGATGGTGAAGAGGCTCCTACTGCTGGTGGGCTGGCCAACCATTGTGGGGGTGACTGACCCCTCCATCTTCCTTGCTGGGGCAGGCATGAGTGTAGGGGAGACCAGCCAGGGGTGTTGTCTGGTCACCAGCCCACAGTTAGGCTGAGGAGTGTGGAGAAGAGAGCTGGGTACTTGGCGCCAGGTCCCTGTCAGTGTCTGTGTGGGGTTGGGAGCGAGGGTGATCACTGTGCTCCTACAGGAACGACAGCAGGGCACTCCCAAATGGTGTCAGGTCTGCAAGTCAGAACCTGTTTCCCGGGACCCTCCTCTAGCATCTCCTTCCTCCTTCCTGTCACAGGGCAGATTTCAGGGCTGGGACTGGGGGCTGCTCGGGAGGGAGGCGGAGAAAGTCTGATGTGGAGAACATTGAGGGCATCTGAAGGAGAGAACTGTTGGAGATGTGGTTGGGGGCATAGGTGTTCCCACATCTGCATGGCACTAGTGCGGGGCTAGAAGAAGCATGGGGGTGGATGGGCAATGGGCGGGCAACCCATAGGGTCTTCAGGGGGCAACCCATAGGGTCTTCAGGGGTCAAGCCCGGCAGCGGGCTCATTTGTGCTGCTCAGCCACCTGCCAAGCCTCCTCCTGGGGTGCCAAGCCTCCTCCTGGGGCGCATGATGCCCCATGGTGACCCTGGGGGCTGCACCCTGAGCTCACAGACCTGCTGCTTGGTGACCTTCTGCCCTGCCGAGCACCAGGTGTGGCACTGGGTGCAGAAAGGACACTGGAGAGCCCTTGCTTCCTATCCAGGCTGGACAAGGTGTGGGGGACATACTGGCCAGGTGTCTGTTGGGACTGGCAAGTGTGGGACGAGGCAGAGACACAGCCGCAGGAAGCCACCCCTTCTGGCTTTTCCAGCCGTGTTGTCTGGGGGCTGCATGAGAAGCCCTGGGACAGACAGCCAAAGCGGGCTGTGCCTCCATTCCAGGGGTGGGTCTGGGCTGGCCCAGAAGTGTACTTCCAGCAGAGCACGCCCTGGCCCTACACGCAGTGACGCTGATGTCCTGGGTTTTCAGGGTGCCTCAGGTAACTGCTGCTGCTGTGGAGAACTAACTGCTTCCCACGCAGGAGCACAGGGCCCTTCTGGGCACAGGGCTGTTTGCGTCCACCTCTGGCTCCCTCTGGTGGCCTGGGGCCTGGGGTGGGGGTAGCAGCACGGTGCTCACTCACGTTCTCTCCCTCTTGGCGTAGGCTCTGGGCGTGGGGAGGCCGAGACGCGGGAGTGTATCTACTACAACGCCAACTGGGAGCTTGAGCGCACCAACCAGAGTGGACTGGAGCGCTGCCAGGCTGAGCAGGACAAGCGGCTGCACTGCTATGCCTCCTGGCGCAACAGCTCAGGCACCATTGAGCTCGTCAAGAAGGGCTGCTGGCTGGACGACTTCAACTGTTACGACAGGTGACATCTGCTGGGCCCCTGCCCGTGGGGCCGTGTGGGTCTCGGGGTGCCTGGAACTGGCCCAGCCTGGCGTTTAAGGGAGGGAGGGGAAATGTGGGGGGCTCTGGAGACAGCTTGGACTCGTAGGGGTGGTGCTGGGGTCCCAGCCTTTCTGGAGCTGTGTCTGTCCTGCCCAGGTCCTGACGTGGCTCCTGGTGAGTGTTGACCCATGACTGCCCCTCCCAATTCTGGGTCCCACTGTAGGGGAGGTGGTTCACCCCAGGTGGTTTCCCATAGGGTTCTATGAGAGTCCTGCATCCCTCAGTGGAGGGGTGTCTGGAACACTGTGTGCCTTCAGGCAGGAGTGTGTGGCCACCGAGGAGAACCCCCAGGTGTACTTCTGCTGCTGCGAAGGCGACTTCTGCAACGAGCGCTTCACCCACTTACCAGAGGCTGGGGGCCCAGAAGGTGAGGGCAGGGGCCAGGCACAGGCCTCTCCTGGCCCCAGAGCTCCGAGCTCCTGGATTGGGTTGGGAGTGGATGCCGGGCTCTCTGGTCTGGTCCTGGAGGTGCATGGGTAGGCGGGCTGTGTGACTCAGGGCTCCGTGTGTCCCCCAGTCACGTACGAGCCACCCCCGACAGCCCCTACCCTGCTCACGGTGCTGGCCTACTCGCTGCTGCCCATTGGGGGCCTGTCCCTCATCGTCCTGCTGGCTTTCTGGACATACCGGCACCGCAAGCCCCCCTACGGCCACGTGGACATCCACGAGGTGAGACGGCTGGCGTGGGCAGGGCAGGGCTAGAGGTGGGAGGTCAGGCCAGACCCTGTTAAGCCCTTCATCTCCCCCAGGAACCTGGACCTCCTCCTCCATCCCCTCTCGTGGGCCTGAAACCGCTGCAGCTGCTGGAGATCAAGGCTCGGGGTCGCTTTGGCTGTGTCTGGAAGGCACAGCTCATGAATGACTTTGTGGCTGTCAAGATCTTCCCGCTCCAGGTGCGTGTTTGAAGGGCTCCAGGTCATCCACCCCTGCTGTGGCCTGAGTTTTTTCCCACCCCAGGGTAATCCCAGGCAGCATATAGGTGGGATGGGCGGGAAGTGAGCCCCATTGGGGTGGGGAAATTTCATGGTAGGACCAGGGTAGGGCTTTCTAAAACCTTGATCCACTCTGGTTTTCAGGGTTTTGTGTTTGACATCAGGTTCTGCTCAGAGGCCCTGGACACTAGGCTACCCAAGCAGTTTTTGGGGATGCTTAGCAAAAGCTAGGCCCAGCTGTCTCTTCTGTTGGGTGATACTGGGCCACTCACTCCCTTCCCCGACCCTCAGTGGCCTGGTGTAAATTAGGTGCTGGTGACCTCAGGGTCTGGACTTCCACTTCTCTCTCTGTAGTGGAAGCTGGGGGGCGGCAGGTGGCTGCAGTGGGGTCAGCTGCGTTCTTGCCTCAGGACAAGCAGTCGTGGCAGAGTGAACGGGAAATCTTCAACACACCTGGCATGAAGCATGAGAATCTGCTGCAGTTCATCGCCGCTGAGAAACGGGGTTCCAACCTTGAGGTAGAGCTGTGGCTCATCACGGCTTTTCACGACAAGGTGAGCCATGTGTGGTGGACCCCCACGTGGGGTGGCCCAGTCCCCATGTGGCCCTCCGAGGGTGGGGTGGCTCGTCCCTGCAGCCTCCCGGGCTGGGCAGAGCCCACACCCAAGTTGTGTGTCTCCTCAGGGCTCCCTCACGGATCACCTCAAGGGGAACATCATCACGTGGAACGAGCTGTGTCACGTGGCAGAGACAATGTCAAGAGGCCTCTCGTACCTCCATGAGGACGTGCCCTGGTGCCGTGGCGAAGGCCATAAGCCGTCTATTGCCCACAGGTACTGGGGTCAGCAATGCCCTCCCTGTGCTGGGCCAGGTGCTGCAGGGTTGGAGGGTGAGAGCAGGCCCGGTACAGGGCTGTCCCAATTTCATAAGTGTGCTTAGCTGCGCTTAGCTTAGCTGCTTTCCGGGTGTGTGTCAGGCTGAGCCCTCAGCCTTGGCACCTGGCCATTCCCTACCTGCCCCGCACCCTGGATTCTGCAGGCCAGCAGACCAGTTTTCTGGTGCCCTCCAGTGGCCACACAAGGAAGTGCTGGCCCTGTTTGGGTTCGAGAGCGCTGGTTCAGCAGTTTTTGAACTTTCTGATCAGGATTCCTTTGTACTCTTAGAAAGGACTTCTGTATGTGTCACGTCTGTTGAGATTTGCGGCATCAGCCCACACATGTTCCATTAACTATCAGAGTGATGACATTTTGAGTAGTGTGTTGATGATGTGTAAGCTCAACTATATGCAATTGTCACTTTTATAGGTCAAAAGTAGTTGAATGTTGACTCTGCTGTGTGGTTCAGCCTAACAGTAATGCATAGTAAGTGTGCCTGGGTGGTTCTAAGCATTTGTGCCTATTAATCCCCTAGTTTAATCGACACAGCAAGGCAGAGCCAGGCTGAGGAGGAGGAGGCCCCAAGGAGTTCTGCTAGTGAGAGGAGGGGCTGAGTGCACAGGCCAGCCAGCACCCCTCGGGCCTGCACAGAAACCTGGGAACATTCTTTTAGACTTCTGTTCTCATGCACATCCAAACATTAAAAATTCTTCCCAGAAAATTTGCATCCCAGGCTGCTGTGCCTGCCCCAGCCCTCTAGGAATGCAGGCCTGGCCTTCGACCCTGTAGAGCCTGGGGTGGGATCAGCCCGGCCCCTGAGCCGGTGCTGCATTGCCGGCTTTGGCGGAGTGTTGCAGGGCTTCTCACACCAGTGTGTGTGGGGGGTGTTCTAAAGCTGCCTCCTTGTGCAGTTCCTGGATCCCCACTCTGGTGCAGACCCTGCTCCCAGACAGGGTGGGACAGGCTAGTCAGGGGTCTCTGGGGGCTGTAGGCATAGGCTCCAGCATCTAGGAGCCAAGGTGGGAAGGCAGGAGCAGGACAGCCTGGACCATGATGTTTGGCTTCATTTCTGGGATGTCTTGTCTCCACAGGGACTTCAAAAGCAAGAATGTGTTGCTGAAGAATGACCTCACTGCCGTTCTAGCTGACTTTGGTCTGGCTGTCCGATTTGAGCCAGGGAAGCCCCCGGGGGACACTCACGGGCAGGTAATGCACCTCATAGGTGCAAGGGGGCTGGCACAGGGTAGACACTGCCTTCTCTGGTTTGCTCTGCATCCCAGTGGTGCTCAGCTGGCATGGCACAAGGTGAGGGTCACCGTGTGAGCTCAGAGCTGTCTGACATCTCCAGGAACAATGTGGTCCTGTTACCCCAGGGAAGCAGGACCCAGAGGGCAGCGAAGCTTCCCAGGCCAGGCTCGCCCTTGGGGTTCTGGCCACTGGTCCTTGCAGTCTGTTTCTCTCTCTTCCTTTTTCAGTTGTAATTATTTAAACAAGGGCACACAGAGTGGTGTACTAAGAGTTCAACCCCAAACATAGAAAAAGTAACCAAAAGTTAATCCTAAGCAAATCATCCTAAAAACAGTTGCTGTTACTATTTTTAGGCATTCTCCCCCTTTTAGTTTTGGTCTTAATCTTAATCAAATACACAGGCATATAGTCCATTGTGGTGTTGATGAGGTAGCAGACAGCAGTTCCACCGACAGATGACTGTCTCCAGTATGTGGTATTTTTAAAATTACCACTGAGGGTCACTTTGCCCCACAGCCTCCCATGACCTTTCTGTGAGTAGGCAAATCAAGGATTGCCAGTGTTGTCAGTGGTTTGCTCAGCATCCCAGGCCCGCCGTCCTGGTTCTGTCTGGTGCACAGGATGTAGCTCCTGTGTCCAGCTATGAGTGTGTTTGCATATAGCTAGTGACCTTGACCTCCTGTCCTGGCTTAGGTGGGCACGCGGCGGTACATGGCCCCTGAGGTGCTTGAGGGAGCCATCAACTTCCAGAGGGATGCCTTCCTGCGCATTGACATGTACGCCATGGGGCTAGTGCTGTGGGAGCTCGTGTCCCGCTGCGGGGCTGCAGATGGTGAGTGGGCAGGGTCCCAAGCTCCTGGGGGTGGGATGGGAGCGGCTCTGGATGGAGAGAAGGCAGGTGGGACTCCAGATCCTGGGGGGAGGGATGGAGAGTGGCCCAAATGGTGAGTGGGCAGAGGCCCCCAAGATCCTGGAGGTGGGATGGAAGTGGCTCAGATGGTGAGTGGGTTGGGACCTGAGCTCCTGGGGTGGGGGTAGGATGGGGACCAATGGGCCTTGGACAGCCCGCCTGGCTCTCACCCCCAGGACCTGTGGATGAGTACATGCTGCCCTTTGAGGAAGAGATAGGCCAGCACCCATCACTGGAAGAGCTGCAGGAGGTGGTTGTGCACAAGAAGATGCGACCTGCCATTAAGGACCACTGGCTGAAGCACCCGGTGAGGGGTCTGGGTGGCAGGTGACTTCAGGAGCCCTTCCATGGGTAGCAGGAACCTGAGATCAAGGGAGTGTGGGGCAGACAGCTTGCCTCATGCCACAGGACAGCCCCCTTTTTCCCAGCCTGGTCAGTGGCCTCTTAGTGCATTGCCTCCCTCCTACCAGGGAAGTGTCTGGGGAGGCTTAGGGGTGTAGCCCTGGGGATGGCCCCATCAGGGCCCGGTTGCCCCTGTGTGCAGTGAGTTGCATCCCACCCCCAGGTCGCTCCAGTTTCTCCACTTGTGCAGTGGAGCCCACTAGCCCTGGGCCTGAAACCTCTGGGTTTGAATCGGAGATCTGCCAATCAATGGCTGAGTGACTTCTGGCAAACTGCTTTATTTCTCTGAGCCTTTTTCCTCTTCAACGTGCTAATAGATTTAATGAGTTAAATGCAAATTTCTTGGCAGGACACCCACCATGTAGATGCTTAATCTGGATTAACTCTGATGAAATACTGTCTGTTCTTTTCCTTCATCATTTTCTGGGCATGGGCTGAGCCGCGTGGCATCTGGGCTTTTTCAATCTGGGGTTACTGTGCAGAAGACCCCAGCCCCGAACTTTTTGTCTCCTGGAAGGATGCGTGCCTTTAGCTCCACTGAGCCCCTCCCTTTGCCCATCCCAGGGTGAATTCAGAACAAGCACAGCCCTGTGTCCCCTGGGGGCTAGCACTCCACCGTAACCTACCAGCAGGGGTCAACCTGTTGAGGCCGAGTTCCGCTGCCATGCTGCTTCCTGGACCCCAGGGCTGCACATAGAAGGCTGTGGTGTGGGCAGATGCCTGCTCCCCCTGCCGCAGACTTTCTCAGTCTCCCAGGGCTGGGGTCCAATTCCCTAATGAAGGGCCCAAGGTCCAAGAGGTCCTGGTAGGGCCTGGTGCTAAACAGCCCAGGGCACTCCTGGAGGTGGGCACTTGGCCTTCCTGGCTCCACACAGTTGAGTCAGCAAAGTGTCATGCTACCTTCCACAGGCTCTAGGGAGGGGTCCAGGGGGCTTTGCTGGGTGGGCTGGGATGACCCCTCCTCCGGTCCCCCCGGGACAGCACCGCTGTACTTCAGGCCCTTACCTGATACCTGATTGGAGCTTGAAGTGAGATTCTGTTGGGGGGTCGCTGCTCCAAGGCAGACAGCTCTGTGTGCCCAGGGTGCACCTGAGTTTCTCCCTACCTCCCTTCGTAGCTGAGGCTGGGGCCGCTGGGGAGGCTGGTGGCCGCGTGCTGGTGACCGCTGGGAAGAAAGGCCCCAGTCCCTGCATTCCTCCATGCCCCTGCTCCTTGGCTTGCTGTTGGGGGCAGGACTCGTGGGCTTTGCCTGATCCTCAGGGACGTGATCAGGTTTGCTGTCCCCGTGCTCGCCGTCACTGGGGGCACTACAAGGGCATCCTTCTCCTCCCCTCCACCGTTGTGCAGGGCCTGGCCCAGCTCTGTGTGACCATTGAGGAGTGCTGGGACCATGATGCGGAGGCTCGGCTGTCTGCGGGCTGCGTGGAGGAGCGGGTGTCCCTGATCAGGAGGTCAGTCAACGGCACTACCTCGGACTGTCTTGTCTCCCTGGTGACCTCAGTCACCAATGTGGACCTGCCCCCTAAAGAGTCGAGCATCTAAGCCCAAGACTGGAGCGGATCTCCAGACCCAGCGGATCTGCAGAGGAAAGGAAAAGTTGTGCTTTTTTTTGGGATCCCGTAACACCAACAAACACATAAAATGCAGCTGCTGCTACTTTACCTTGACTTTTTATTATTATTATAATTATTATAATTATTATTATTAATATTATTTTTGGATTGGGTCAGTCTTTACCAGCACATTGCTCTACTGTATGGAAACAGCAGCCCGTCAGCAGGTGCTGAGGTGCTGAGCTGGAATGCAGAACCAGCGCCGAGCTGAAGGACCCTGGCCACCCCCTGGCCCTGCGGTCCGCTTTTCCCACTTTCTCTGTGTTTGTTGTCTCAAGGACACAAAGAAACCCATCTCCTGTCTTAGGAAACTTAATGCTGCAAACTCTGCCTAGAGGAGCCTTTGAAGACTGTTACACAAGGACACGCCTTCCTCAGGAGAGGATCCCCTCTGCCCTTGTCCCCCACTGTGTTTTCTCCCTTTGTGACAGTGAGCTTAAGAGACAGCAGATGTGTCTTTCACGGATTAGTGGTATTGTCCTGACCCAGCAGCACTAGGATGCCGCTGGTTTGGACTCTGCAGTGGGAAGGGGAGGACCGGCTGGGCTGGGGTTCGGGACTGAGCTGCACTGGATTCACACAGTCGGCGCGACACCCTCCACAGCGAGGCCACTTCTCAGGTAACCAGGAGTGGAGGGGAGAGGACGTGAGGAGGCTGAGCGTTACTGGCAACAGCGGCGTTTGGAGAAAGTCTGAGAGCAGGTGTGGCTCCGACCCACCTGCGGGTCCTGGCCAGGTTTCCCACTACTGTGGGCGTGGGCACAGGGCAAAACATCTTTTCTGCCCTATTTTGAAGTTAGGTAAGGGTGGAGATCATCATGTGGTACTGAGTACATACATTCTCTGAAAGACATGATGCTGTAAATATCTTTACGGAGGAAAAAGTTAAATGATTGCTTCCTCCTGGAGCAGTTCAGGGAGGTGCCCGCAGGGTGCCCTGCACAGCTGGGGAGGGGCCTTCTGGGGGGCCTGCCATGGCCTGCCTCTGTGAAGACCCCAAGGGCCTGGCAGCGCTGGCTGTGCCCTGTGTGGTGGCATTGTCCCTTTCTGTGGCTCGAGGACACAGCTTTCTCCAGACCCCGTGAAGAGGTGCATATTCTCAAGCCCGTTTCTCTGTTATGCCATACTTGCTCTAGTCAGTTGGTGAATGTTCCTGATGCTGCTGTTTCAATATTTGAATTTTTTTTTTAATTTATGAAACATGCAAAATTTTTAAGACAAAACACACATACATCCACGTATACATACATGCTTTGCTACGTGGCTTCCGAGGTTTAAATTTTGAAATGTAAAAGAATTAAAACTTCACGACCACAGACCACCTCAAACCAGAAATACCTCAGAATTTTTCTACTTGTGTAAGTTTTATTATATATTTTATTAGTTGTGTTGTCTTGTAGTAAGTATATTTTAGTGTAAGTTGGTTTTTATGATGGGAAAGTTTAAAAGAAATAGAGAAAAAGAAAAAACGGTTTGCATCTTCTAGGGAGTGCTGCCATCTTCGTTTGATTATGCCCCCCTGTAAATACCCATCATCAGCCGTGGGTCGGCCATCGGTCCCAGGCTGGGCACTCATTGTCCTTGTTTGTGAAGGCTTTTCCTTCTGGTTTCTTCAGACCATTTTATTCAAAAACTGGATCTCTTAATCTTGAGGGCAAATTGACTTCAGTGAGAAGAGGAGAGGGACATCCCACCCTGAGCTCCTGGGAGATGTTCCCTCAGCTTGAGGGGTGTGTGCTCGTAATGACAAGTGATTCCACTTTAACTCGGTCAGACTGTGGTCCTTAGACCACATGAGGTAACCTTACCTGAGGCTTAACTTCGTGAGCAAATGAGCAGCATTGATAGCCAGGGACCTGAAGTCCCATCCGCACTGCAACTGGGCAGCCTGGTGCATGTGGGGCGGGGTCCCTGGGCTCACAGGTGCCCGGCTTCCCCACGGGTGCCACTCTGCCAGTTTGGGCACAGGCTGTGGCAGGAGGCATGTGTGCCCTGCTCTGGAAACTCAGTGGGTGCTGCATGGGTTGTGGTGTCAGCTGGCGAAGGTGGTTACAAGGACAGGTTTTGTTTCTGTGTTTTGGTAAGCTACATCGTCACTGTCTTTTTTTTAAAGTATTTTGTGCTGTGGTGTTTTTCTTCCCTCAGAATAATTTTTAACAGCAAAACAGGCCTTACAGCAGTTGCTTTTCTTCTCCACTTATTTCTTTGAGAAGCTTTAAAATATTTATTGAAAAGTGCCACATCTGATTTCTTTAGCTTTCTCCTTAGGCATTGCTGGGCATCTCTACTCTTCACCTTCAGAGGAAATGAACCGCTAGCGGACATAAGATGTAGCTAATTCAGGACAGGAACCATCAGACCACGGATCCTACCCATGTGGAACACTAACCCCCTGCCTCTCTGTGTGGTCTCACATTTCCTCTAGGTGATTTTTCTTTTGAGTAATGAGTTGATTCTCGGGAAAACAGGTGTTGGCCTGGTTGTGGAGGGCTGAGCTGCGGCCCTGGGGTGGGCCTGCTGGTCAGGACATGGCACAGACAGGGAAGGCCTTCCTGGTGGCCTGCGTGCCTTTTTTCTGTGTGGGCTCCATCCCTTTGGGGCCTGGGCACCAGAATGAAGTGCCAGGCGACGGCACTGTGTGAACGGGGGAGAGTTCAGCAGCTGCCTTTTCCCTCATGCTGTGGTGAAAACACACCCAGGCAGTACTGTGGCTGCGACTTCCCAAGGCATGCTGTGTGGCTGAGAGCCTGGGTGGGGCCGCCACCTCAGATGAAGGGTCTGTTTGCCGTCATGTATTCTTTGGGGCCTGAACCTCTACAGCTCTGGTTTGTGTTCATTGGGTTTAGGGCCTCTGCCTGTGCTCTTCTCCACAAAGTACTTCCATTTTGGGGGAGCTCAGATAACTTCCCCTTTGTCCCCCTGAGCTCTGTGGAAGCCTGGTGGGAATGAAGTCTGGCACCCTGTTCCATGCCCATGAAAAGAGGCTGCCCCGTGTGGGGTGGAAGGTGGCCAAGTGAGGGGACAGAAGCGTGGCCATAGACCCTTGCTCCTGTTTTCTAGTGCACTGCCATCCAGGCAGGCCCCTGGCTTGTGAAAGGCTTAGGGGGAGAAAGTGATCTTTCTGAAAACTCAGATCTGTTTAATCACTGTGGGAAGACATCCTCAGCCACAGAAATCTAGGAATGAGCAGGAGAAGGAGGAAGCAAGCAGGGCAGAGGCCACTGTGTCGGTCCATACAGAGAACTCTCAGTGGTGGAGGGGCCAGGGAAGTCCTTGGCATAGTCATTGGAGTATCCTGCAGCTGGCAGGGGCCAGGCTTTCTCCTGAGACCATTGGTCCTACCAGGAGTCCTTCTTTGGGTGAGTTACTCAAGGCGAGGGCTACAGATGGCCCATTCTTAGGAGAAAGGACTGCCTGGCTGTGAGGGGTCTGGTGCACATCAGTCCCTGTCGTTCAGCCTGGCCTTCCTGTTCTGGCCTCTTGGTTGCCAGTGGGTGTCTAAAGGGATCAGTCCTGCCTGGGGAGGGCTTCCCCAGGGGCACCAGCTGCATCTGACCTAGGATTCATCCTGTCTGGACTTCGGGGCATGTGTACAGAACAAGAAAGGACCTCTCCCAGCCTTGCACATCTTAGAGGCTCAAGCCCACCCCTGCCCTCCTTACATACTCTTAGCCAAGGGAAGGGTCTCTCATCTCCAGGCCACTGTGACAGTTCTCCCACTGTCCCCAGGATCAGGCCAGCCTTGTTATGGTTTGTCACGTCATGCTTTAGCCAGCAAAGCAAGTGCTCCTGCTGTTCTGCTCCCACCTTCTCTCTAGCTGGTACAGTCTTGCTCCCTGCTACCCTGGGTGCTTGGGCCGTGTGTGGTGTTTCCTGGGTGACAAGCCCGACTGTGTATGGTATGTCCACCATGTGTTGCGTGTGGCCCAGAAAGCTTGCCACGAGGGCAGGGAGGCGGAGGCGGCTGGCCCACCCAGGGCGAGAGGACTGAATGGCCCTTTGGCAGATAAAATTTCCCTTTCTTTCAATGCAGTGTGAAGTTCCCAGCACCTGTTGGTTGTATAAGGATTTGATGTTTTTTTAGTTATATAGTAAGCTTATGTGTGTAAGTTTTTAGACTTGGTACTAGAAGTCAACAGCCAGGCATTATTCCTGAGAAATTGACTCACTAGAAAAATATCTCCATTGGGAAGCATTTCCAGGAGTTAACTCAGTTTGATCCTCAGTCCCAGATATTGCAGTTGTTTGTTGAGTTCTTAATGGCTTATCACGGCCAGACCTGGTTTGAGAACTGATTCACATTTCAGGGGCCGTAAACTGCACCTTTCCAAGAACGCAGTGAATTTACTCTTTGACTCTCCTCATCCAGGGCGAGCAGCCAGGAAGGAAACAGGGCAAGATGGCTTTTCTCTGCATTTGGATGTCATGAATTCTCCTTGGTCAATGGATGTTTACAAAAGCTGAACTAATAAAATACTCAGCAGCTATCGTGTTCAGCTAGTAATAATGAGTTTAATTCTCTGTCAACAATTATGTTTTAGATAAAGAAGCAGGCCCAGTAATTCACTGATGAACTGTTTATCTTCTCAGTCTTGACTTGTAAACGTTTAATGAATTCAGGGTTATATGCATAGTTCTTTAAGATTCCTGGTAGTTGATTTGTAACCAGCAATCCACCTATGAATGTATCCCAAACCTTTAGAAGGCTTGGAAAAGTTTTTTAAGATAATGATTTAGTTTTGTAGCAAAAAAAAATTGAAGTTTAAAATGCTCCCCTGAGAAACTAATTCCGTTTACTCTGCTGCATTTTAAAAACAGTTAGTGGGTCCAAGAGACTCATAAACTATCTTCACATAAAATTTCAAATTATCTAATGGGATATTTTGAATATTCCTGTCTTATACCCTTTTTGGGTATACTGTAAACTTTGGCTTGGACAAGATTTTGAATTTAAAAGATTTATCACCACTTAAATTTCTACCAAGCATTTACATTTTTGTGAGGGTATCTTCCTATGATGAAACAGGACCTTTTGATTGTGGTACCACCTACCCCCCATGGTGCCAAGACCAGCGATACTGTATTTGCTCCTATG